TACCCCTTGGCATCCTTCCTTGACTCATTTGTGCAAAGCAGCCTACGAGATCCTCCGAGATGCCTCGCCAAGGTCTCTGAGATCGCAAGATGTTCCCTGCATCAGCTAGTAATCTTTGACTGCTCTCAGTGCTGTTTAATATGCCGATACCTGTGATATGTACTCTCGAGCCCTCGCCGTCTCTTGCCCATGCAGTTATGTCGATCTTTTCTTTGATCTTGTCTAGACGAACTAGATCCCCTGACGTATCCTTTTGGCCCAGTATTTGGTCATAGAGAAGTATGTAGGTGACAGCGATAGCGAACGAAAGGGTTGCATAATATGCAGGATAACGATCATTCCGAGTGAACGCGTAAATCTGAGCTGCGTGCCACAAGCAGATCCTAGCTGTATCCAGGTTGCGTCGCAAATACTCTTTCAGTCTTTCCCTTGTCTTTTGCATTTCAGCGAGGTTCGCTTGCCATCCTACTGAGGCGTAAATCATCCGTAGTGGGATGTTCCTTAGTATAGAAATGACGTGCACAACTGGGTCGTACATGGTATGATCGCCAGCATGGCATGAGAGATGTGTAGATGTGATGGCGTCTTCAATCCTTTGGTCCAAGTATGTAATGTCATCTGGAGAGACTCCAGAGGATAGCAGACTATCTCGATTGGAGTTGACATCTTGTTCTTGTAGAGCGATCGCCAGTTCGGGCCTCAATAGGGCGCTCAAGCGCCGTGAAGATCGCACCTGGTCCAAAATAGCTCTCTCGTCAGCGTACAGACTTAAGATTTGAATATTGCTGGCGAAGTGATCGAATCTTGACGCTTGGTTGTCGGAGGCTTCGTGACGCTTCTGCTCATTCCATGATCTCTCAGAGCGACAGTTCCAGACAACATGAGTGCAAGGCAAGCGCTGGGCGAAATCTGTAACTCTGAAGAGCGGACGCTGGTCGAACAAGATCAACTGAAAACATTCTAGTGCTATTCGAGGTGTCAAAAGGTTATCTTAATAATATTTCCATCGTTCGACTTACTGTATACGCAGTGAACGAGACGAACAACTTCTTCGCCTTGCAACCATGGCATCCATCCGTGATCCAAATTTTGGTCTACTACAAAGTCCTCGCTGTCAGGAGCACCTGCGCGAGTGGATAGAGAGCGGCACAAGTTCGTGATCATATTTCGCTCTCGCTGCAACACAGCATGGTCTGATTTGCGGCCAGATGCGAGAAGTCCTACATCCCGCAGAAGCACGCTCTGAGCAAAGGAGATCTCGGTTCGTCTTGTAAAGACCTAGAGATCCCAAGGGCGTCAGATTTCACAGCTTTGATCTGGCATGCAAACTTACATGAACTTTGACAGCTTTCCGTAGCAAGTAGTGAAGGACTGTAGTATACGTAGGTGCGTCTTTCACTTCAGAGTACTGACTTCCAATGGCGGCGACTGCTATCAGAAGGACTCCGCATATGTCACCTCTTTCAACCCTGACTGGATGCAAAAAGGGAAGGTATGGATCGAAATACTCGAAGTACAACTCTACAAAAGCATGGAGCATCCGAGAGTGAGGAAAGAGCATGTCGTCATGACCGCGTTCCGAGATGTAGAAGGAGCGTGCATCTGTGTAGGCTTTTGTAGGTATTGCGCTTACATGACCGAAAATCTCAGCGCCTACAATTTGTAATGTATTTTCTTCGAGCATAGGAAACGACGGGCACGAGCGCGTCAGATGAGAATCTACTGTACCTGCAGTCTTGCCCAAGACCCTCCTGTGGGCCTCAACAGTAATGTGTGATTCGACCTCAGGTCTCGGAAGTTTGTCATTATTAGTGGGCTCTATAGCGACCATATTGCCATAACTGGATATGTAGGAATCTGATATGCCTGACTCGAGTGTGCATGGTATCTGAAAGGAAGTTTCGTTCACTGGGATCATCCAGGCGAGTGGTAAGTTGAAGTCGGTAGACAACCCATTGAAGTAGTTTATTCCGTTTGAAGGAAAGTTCGTGGGTAATTCGGAATCCAATCTGTCTCCAGAGCCAGATATATGCGAAAGACCAGACCAGTCTGTGCCGTGCATTCCCTCAGATAGGGTATCGCCCATGGGGATAGATATGGGGGACCGACGTAGCAGCGCAGCATCGGTAATTTGCGACGTTGTCTCAAGGGAGACAGTTGTGGATCCTGGATCTGAACTGAAGTCAGGCGGCGCCATGTCAGTTCCATGTTCGTGAACGATTTCGAACGATGCGTGGTTCGCGAGAGTATTGCTTGTTGGAGGAGCAAGAGCGGCGCCCTCGGATTGATCATCGTTGAATTTGCATGAAAGATCCTTCCGATGGCATCTTGTACAGGGATTCTGACCATAGCAGCGCTGCTTTGCTTTCACACAAGAAGCACATGCTCGTGAGGCTCTTTTTCTATCACTCTGTGGGTGTTCAGTCCGAGCGTGGGTGAGACGATGCCGATAGAGCGTATCGCTCCGGGATGTTAGTCATTTGCTACAACACTGAAAGGAAGCTGATTCACATACCTCCTTGAGAAGGATTTCGAGCATAGCCTACAGTTGAAAGGTTTTGAGCCTGTATGACGAAGAAGATGACGCTGAAGGTGACCATTGCGCTGGAAGGTCTCGGCGCAATATCTGCACGTCAATGCAGTTGACTGAGTTGACATACTCGTGTGGCTCGCGTCGTTTTGTGGATTCTGGATGCATGTCTGTATGGTAAGCTCATCGAGCGTGAGCGCTTCCAACCAAAGAACTTATCGGGGCCGGCAGTCTCCGGAACGCTCGGTTAATAAGATACTACTTGAACTGTGATACTAATGTGAACAGCGCCTCCACTGAAGACGACGCAGAAGGCGAAGAGCGAGCAGCTGGTGTCGTGGGATTGGTTGAGGCGGTACCGCGGCCGCGACAGAGTAGAGAAAGTCAGATGGTAGCCTATGGCATCTGCGGCCCCTTGCAGGGATGGTGCGGGGTTCTCGATCGATTGAGCATAGCGTCGGTGTTTCGAACGCCGACACGCTTGCATCTCCAATGCTGCCCAAGATTAGGACTCGCTCAAGCCATCAAATCCCCATCGTTTCGTACACCTTTTCACAGACGCATTGCGTGTCCATCCGGAATTGGGTTACTGACATCGATACAACTACAATCTGATTAGTGATGATATAACGATGACTATCTAGCGGTCGTCGGTATCTAGGTAGAGTTGAGTCCATCACATCAATGGAATTGCTCATTGGCGAGCGCGAGACGGCTTCTGAACTGCGAATCAGATGTCTTCACATTGCAAATGTGACCCACTTATGCGATCATTCAACAAGAGTCTTTTGGTCCATTGAATATGACACTGTGCAACAGTCTCTCAGGATCGATCTGTTAATCTACATTGTTTCTCAACATTCCATCATACTTTGTGCATGACCGGCAGTTCAAGGTCGTTTATTACTTTCCAACACCCCCAGATCAACTTCTCTCAATATGCTTCGCACACCTGTTCCAGAGACCATGTCGGGGATACGAGCGCATATGTTGGCATCATCGAATGCGGATCAAGACGCAAATTCCGACGTGTCAGCAATATTCGATGAGCTCACTGTAGAACTACGATCGCAACCAAAGAGCTCGAGCGAGATAAGGCAATCCGCTTATTTGCAACACAAAGCGGACTTTCAAGAACTGGTCACCAAAGGCGCCAGGCTCTTTAAGCTGATGATCGCCGAATCGACGAGCTCCGCACAAAGCAGCTTCACCGATGTTGAAGACCTCCAAAGATGGGGTTACGACACATACAATTACAACGATACGTCCGAGCTACGAGGTATCGATAGCGTTCTGGATACCATTGAGGTAAGTAAAAAATTCACGCGATTACTTAGCCCGAATATACCTGTCAGCCATACACACAAGACACCGGTGGTTGTCGAAGGGATGTTATTTCCAGCGACCAACGCGCTCTTATGCCAAGTCATAAATACATCAGATGGGATCATAGTTGCTTACGACAATTTTACCGCACAAGGCGTGAACGGGCGTAAAGGATCGCGTGTGCCACCTCTAAACCACTGGTCAGATATAGCGTACCTCCAATGGTTGTCAAAAGCCGAGCCGGATTCCAACTTGCGTTTTGTACTTAGGTATAATGTGATGAATGATGGGACTTGCTTTGCCTTGGACTTTATGGAATCACACTGCGGTTTCGCATTAACACAGTGGCCAGGAACGACGTATTACCCAGGATCCAACGAGTTCAACGCGTTGTTAGGGTCGCCCAATGGTCAAGGTGTGGCTCATATGCTCATCCAGCATCGAAAGCAGCTAGGCCACAAGGCGGTCGAGAAAGTTATTGTTTCTTTCATTGCTTGCCGCGGCAAAATGCTGCTATTTCATTTCCAGGATGTGGAGGAGACGTCACGCCACGACGCCTGTTCATAAGCGACACTCAACAGTGCCAAAACGAAGGCTGAGTCTGATCGCTTCAGCGTCACAACCATGTTAGAGAACGAAGAAACATTATTTAAGAACGTGTTAGCTTAGAAACAGAAAGCGAGCGAGCCCAAGGAAGATCGAGATGGCGACATCCTGCGCTAATCTTAAATCGGTGGAACCAGTCACCGACAACTCTTGTAGAACATCACCAACAATTCAGAGCTTTTGAACTTGCGTCAACATGTAGTTGGGGTGCGTTCTGATGATCATCTACCAGTCTGAAGTGTTTTTGTATACTCCCATACCCAGGAACTCCATGCGCAATGGATAACAAGATAAGTGTCTAGGGACGGAGTGGCCTCGGACCTGAACATTGAGGGAGAATATCAGATTGAGCGATGCGTTGACTCGGAGCCGCATAGGAAATTTTATGTAATTAACGCTGGGTGAGCAATACCTGCACATAGACCACTGTCATCATGTCAAGATTTGAGTCGTATGGACGGGGACAACAGGAGTAGAATGGAAGGTGTATTGCGCCTCAAAGTGGCTAATGCATGATTGCACTGGCGTCAAAGATAATTTACAAGCCGGACTTGACTCGATTATCTTTCTTCGCATCCTCTTCAAGACTTTCAGCCCACTGGCTAACTGTCTTCACTTCATCTACTATAAGCGGCCAGATCAGGTTCTTTCCTGCATCGTGGTGGGCAGGCGAATGACCAGCCGTGGCGTCAGACCTAATGACAACACATCAGTCACGTACTATCATATAGAGCTATCACAACTTACAGTATCGTCACATGGTATCCACTATAATCAGCAAGGTCAGTGTCTGAACTTCATTGTGCGAATCTATTGCGGAAACAATGTGACTTACAGTTCTCTTCCATACCTTGCGGTGGATTCAAGGCATGTACTTGCAATCATTCCTGCCATTACTAAATGGGTAATTTCACGTTGGTGTAGCTGGTAGTCGAGGTCGGTATTCGCAAATCCACTGATCGATATCGTTAGTCCAATGGTGATCATGTGAGCCAACGAAGAACGTTTCTCGTCCTGACATCCAATCATAGGAACGCAACGTGATTGCACTTACCTACTATTCCAGTGTTTACTGACTACAACGTCTTTATTTCCGACGTCTGGCTCTAGTCCGGGATAGATCTCGGCTCCCCAACTCCCTTCCTGGAGCAGCCTATGCTGGCTCACTCCAGATGTTGTTGGGTTCATGTGGAGCCATCCCTGGTAGTTACCTTCCTTCCATTGCTGATGCAAAGAATAGTAGATCGGTATGCCGGCCTTGCGAGCTGCTTTGACGACCTCTTGTAAATGGTCCAAAGTGTTCGTCTTGGCCATGGATTCGCTGACAAAAGGGTTGATCTTTCCCTCAGGGTGAAGAAATTCATTGTAAACGTCGATGAGAACTAGAGCAGTTCTATCCACAGGGCTGGATGAGCTTGGAGATGCCATTTCGTAGTAGCTTGATAGAGTATTGGCGCAGCTGATGAGAGTGCTCGTTATGTTTCGAATAAGCTGAGAGATGTGCGTCTCTTAAAAGCGTTCCTTTATCCATCTACTACTGGTGAATCACATCGTTGCTTCCTCGGTACTGGAGAAAATGCGTAGAGCTGCCAGTCTCGCATGACAAACCGATCATTCATCATGCGCTCGCTAATACATTTACTTACCGGATCACAGGCTTTAGTGTTATACCGGCATCCGTGGCTATTGAATGTTCTTGAGTGAGCTTCGCAGAGCTTATCGAATAAGCGTCATGTCGTAGCACCGGCAACGCTGCTCTCGACCGTTAGAGCTGGCTGGGATAACCACCGAATCATTGGAAAGCTAAGCAGAAAGGCGGGGCTGAAGAAGCTAGGATTGCCTCATCCCAAGCTTGTAAAAATTCGAAATTTGTTCAGTAAACAATCGGGGTTGATGAAGCCTCAGTGCGGCGGGTTTGAGACAGATTAATAATCTAATGAGCTAGCCACGACGAACCTAGCGCGACCCATGACATTCAGCACGTACCAATCGGACATATAACCGGACGTTTTTTGTTGGAAGTCGAGTATGATGCGTGATACATCGGGATTTGAGAAGTACCGCCGGCCGGACTGGAGGCAGTTCTTGATCAATCGTGGCAAAAGAGCATCAACACTCACGAAATGAGATGGAAAGTTACGAAAAAAGGGGTGAATGAGGCAAAGTTGTAGATGTGGACTTGGAATACATAATGATATCTGAGGTGAGCACATGAAATAGTGGCACATCAACAGTTTACAGTCGCTCGCCTCGCCTCAGAGATCGCCTACTACACAACCTCCAGAATGAACTTTTCGTGGCAGTCCATCTGCCTCACGGCATTCGGCATTTTCTCAGCAGCTCGCGCGCTGGAGTTACCGGAATACGCTGGGTTGAAGACATCGCTGAACAACAGCATACTCGAAGTCACTCTTCATAACTCAAAGTCGCTTCGCAACCTCTGGGATCAAGACACGCAGGATGGATTGACTGATCTCGTCGGAAGGCTTCAGAAAGACAACGAAACCAAGGTTGTCATCTTCAAGAGCGATGTTCCCCGATACTTCATGGGTCATCTTGACTTGACATTGCCCAACCTTCGTACGTATCGATTCCTCATGTTAACATACTTATGACTGATGTCTGTTGTAGCTGAAGTTGTTCCCGCTTTCAGCAGGCTCATATATAATATTTCGCAGCTTCCCCAGGTTACGATTGGCGCAGTGGAAGGTAGAGCGCGAGGTGCTGGAAACGAGCTTCTCGTTTCACTTGACATGAGATTCGCGGTCAAGAACGACACTCTATTCGGACAGCCAGAAGTTGGCAGTGGTACCATTCCTGGAGGCGGCGGATCTCAGTTCCTTCCGGGGTTGATCGGCCGTGGACTGGCCATGGAATACATCCTTAGCGCTAACGACATCAACGCCGTAGATGCGGAGAGAATTGGCTGGATCAACAAGGCTTTCGATTCTTCAGCAGAGATGTACAAGTACATCGACGGACTCACCACGCGTTTCGCTTTGTTTCCACAAGGAGGATTATCAGCCGGTAAGACTGCGATCAATCGTCGTACCACGCCAACGCTCGAAGACCTTCAAGGAGATGTGAGCTTGTTTCTCGAACGTATCGAAGATCCTATCGTTCAAGAGTTGACGGCCAAAGGATCAGCTGGAAACGAAACATCGGCTTTCGAATTAGAGCTCAACCTTGGAGAAAATATCTTGACCCTGTACCAGTAGAGGAGCGGAACGGTGGCCCGATTTGAGTGGCCCGAGGGTAGTGCAAAAGGAGTATTTGGTTACAGTGAATCCCACTGAGCGGTTCCGGTGGAGCTGTTTGCTCTATGGCGCATGTGTCAATATTATCGTTACCAGCTCTTCAAACTGATCTGTACACAAATTACAAGTTTACATATCAGTCACAAGTCGTTGTCGTCTTTTTCGTTTGAAATGTCTTCAAATGCGTCAACACGCAGACCGAAGATGCAGTAGACGTTCAATTCTTGGTTGCATGTAAACTTCCGCCGTTCACGTCCGTCCCGTTCCTGCAGCGCATACTCCTAGCAAGCGTAAACATCTCGCTAGTTCACTAGTCTTTTAAGCCATCTGCGCATTTGACCATCTGCGATAACGGTAATTTTCGCGTTACCATTACAGATTGATGCTGGACGAATGCACAGTCGGGAGATTTGGTGCGTAGCTGCGATGGCGAGTGGGATGCGCTATGAGCCGGCTGGGTGGGAATCGCGAAGAAGACGCGCTATCGGAAGATCGGAAGTGAAGGTTTGCCGCTAGGTAAGTCATTTCATCTTCACTCTCCCGAGGTCACTCTCTGCTCATCACTCTTGCCATCCAACACTCCGTTTCATTACACATTTCATTATACATATCATCGATTTTCATTGGAGATGGCCACGCAGTGTGTGAATACATCTATCTAAACACGTGCACTCACTCGACAAAGTCTGTCCGTTGCCGCTTAACGCGTTGTTACTAAAAGTAGGAGCGCGGCCGCTTGCTCCCAGTCTCGAAGGTGCCGCCGGTGCTGATGGGATAGATGCCTAGCTTCTCGATTTCCATCTTGAGCGCATCATTCTCCGCCTTGAGCTTCCGAACCTCACGATCTTTAATAGCAGCCTCCATTTTTAACTTCAGAATCTCTATCCCCTGCTCTTCAAGCTTGTCTTCAGTATCTGGTAGGCTGGTCGTGGTTATATCGTTGTGATCCATCACGATCTCCTGTTTAATACTCTCGTGTTGAGCTGGAAACGTGAGAGTACAAGGGTCTTGGAGCCGAGGATCAAGACTGTTATTGACGGTCATCGTTGGTAGATTGAATGGGCGCTTTGGCAGTGGGAGCGGCTGTTGAGATTGGACATTTGGGACGAACAAGGATCGTTCGGCAGTGGTAATGAATACTGAGCGGGGTCTTCGCTCCGTATCCATGATCCTGGCTGTCATCGCCTGTGGGTTGGGTCGGCCGTTATAGAAGGCTTTCACAACTGGATGATCTGGCTTTGCGATTATGATACCGTTGGGGCCGCGTGTTCTGTCCAGGACACCAATGTCACACAATATGGCCAGCTCTCGATCTTCAGGACGTATCTGTCGGTCTTGGAGGGTCTTTGGGTGGTGTGGAATGCTGTGTCCCTGGTACCATTGAGCGGTGCAATATAATAGTGGACAGCTCTGTTAACAAGGTTAACTAGCACCCTGCTGCACATCTTTGGCGAATCTTACCTCATGCTTGTGGCGGCCTGTTCCACAGACCTGGCATTTCTTTCCGCAAGACGTTGCTGAACCGCCCGCGCGGATGGAATGCGCTTTCCAACAGACTTTACAGCACTCCTGCCTGAAGAAGCGGGTGCCAAAGACAGTGGGTAGAGCGAGCTGATCATAGTATATCCCGGCTGGAGGAAAATACCGCTCGACCGGATACCTCAACTCATGTGCATTGTTTCCCACCAGCGGCGGAAGAGGCGCAGGAGTCTCGATACGCAGGAGGGACGGGGAGTCGCCTACAGGCAGATCACATTGAGCAGCTGGTGGTTCGCTCTTGATGCCTATCGGCTGCTTGTTGGCGCCAGTCGGCTCTCGACACTGGTCGACTTGATGATCGACTTCAATGGGTTCTTCTGGGTGTCACTAAAGTCTATGGCAGTGATAGGAAGTACTCACGGTAAGACTGTATCAACTGCCGGCGCGTATCGTGTATGTAATTCTCGGAGGTTGCGGTCTCACTCTGCTCTCGTATCTCACCTTCCTCGGACACAGGACCTTCAGGATTTACGGCGAGCGCAGGCGAACTCGGGTCATACAGTGGTTTCATGACGTACAAGTGCGCCATTTTGACTTTGTGGGATTGGCAATGCGCGTGTGCGTGGGTTGTTGTGGGTGTACGTGTTCAGTGTTGACAACGACGTGCTGAGGCCTATTGTTTTGTTGACTTGTACACACCCGATCGGGTAGGTGCGTCTCTCACTCAAAGCCACGTGATATTCCAATATGAGCTGTCATACTAGGTAATTGCCACGTCAGTATACGAAGGCGCGATGAACTCCTCGGGTGAAGGAGGACCAGGTTGAACAAACCGGTATGAGCAGTGAAGGAAAGAGGCGACATGCTGTGTCCAGTTCACGCCAAGATACCATGACTAGATGTATCTGTTCTGAATTTATCCTCATTCCTCAGAGTCGATATCATCGTTTATCGGTAGATCTCATCCTCGAAAACGAACGAGCCTGTCGCAAGATTGCTGACAATTGAACGCCGTATATCTGCCTGGCCATTACTACGTCAGGCGCGTAGTCAAAAACAGGGCGATGTTTCATCGATTCCTGAATGCCTTACATCAGTAATCGGCGATCTTTGTTATGTAGATGCGGTTCCTCATTCAGATTCTCTCTCTTCCGTCATGTTCACCTCCCTTTTGAGACATTGACACAAACGGATAAGCAATGATACTGTTCTAATCTTGTCTTAATCGACACTGACATAGGCAGCTACTCTCGTCTTTCCTTCAATTATGAATCACACGAAAATAGCGCGAGCACCTTGCCAATGCTTGTGTTGAACTGCATGCACTGCATAGATCTCTTCGATCTCGTCGCGCATCATCTTAGGCAACACGTCCACTTATATACATGACATGAACTGGATTATTCGAACCTGTGAGGGCTAACGCAAATAATCAACGGGATCGCCTTGCATTTTTGAAGAAGACAACTATAACCACGACACGTGAGATGGAGATAATAGCGTGAAAATTCTCGATCCTGGAACGTTAAGTTTGGAAACGACCTTTGTCCCCGTTGGCCATGCGGTACACGTCCGGGAACTCGTGCGGCAAGCTAACCTTCTACAGGCATTTCGATAACTTGTAAACATAAATAACGAGAAAACAAGTGGCGAAGGGTCGCGGAGCTTGGAAATACCCGGGAGTGTGCGACAAGGCGCTAACGCAGGTGGGAACCTGGCTGCACGTGAGTGTTCGTACCCAATGCTTCTTCGTCTTCACGCCGCCATATCTTGAGTAGTCGCTACCATATAAACCCGTATTGGGAACTTTGAGAATATGGCAGTGGAGCGGAATCACGATCCGTCTGGCGCAATGGTCGACACCCAGAGAAATATCCCTGCCAATGTAAGCCCTTCACGGTCACTACTGATGAGAAACAAAACGATAAACACTGACCGAACATCATAGCAGCGCGTTCCAGATCCCACGTTGAACAACACGAGCAGTGTATTGCCGAGGAATGAGATAAAGCTCGAGCTTCGTCCCTCCTACCCGTTGACCACCACCCATTACGGCGAATGCATATACCTCTCAGAGTACCAAAAACGTCCTCCTAGCAAAGCCGACGAAGCCTCTCCCAACTCTTCTCTTTCCGCGCCTCTCCAGAGTCACCATAACTTACCGCCTACGCCCTGTCAAGATCCTATTTCGCCCTCACTCTCCCACAATCTCATCACCAAAGAAGACTATGAGAGTATGGTCAAGGAAAACGTAAGGCTGAAACTTGAACTGGAGATGGCGAAGGAGACCGCCGAGAAGACCACGAAGGCATGTCGCGACCTCGCCGCGTGGACTATTTGGGAACGGAATAGATTGCTGTGCGAGCTAGCGGAGGCCAAGGAGGTGCATCGCGCTTTCGTCGATAACGAAGTCAACGAGCTCATGGCAGAGGAATCAGGCTATCTACCTTTTTGTCAGTAGAAGGTCCCGTCTATGGGTTATCTGGACATATGGCAATCGAGATCCAAGGAATTCACTGAAGTTCTGATAGTATCTTGACCATGTCGCTGTCCTTACGTGACCCCCAACTTTTGTTCGCGCTATCAACCGAGATTTTGTAGGTTGCAAACCGCAAGTAAATCTGCTGTATTGAGAACGCTTCATTGTGTTCTTGTCTTCGCCAAGCGGGGAAGGCGCGGGGTGCTTCATGGTGAGGGTGAATCAAGCCACAGCCAATTGGACAGACCTGTAGCCCCGCATTGTCGTCAAGGTCGTGATTAGACCCTCGCAACACATCAATCTCGAGATCAAAGCAAAGATTCCTCCCCAACACTGCTGCCAATCATTAGTCAAACGATATGGCACATTTCGTCCTGACACCGAAGTGGCTTGGAATGCTACGTGCGACTCGCGCTGCTACGGCAAGGGAGCCGACCGCGCCGCAACAAACAGAGTACGAAAGCAAGGCAAACGACGAGGACATGGAACATGACACCACCCACTACACAAGCGACAGCTCTGAAGACAAATCTGGCAGCAATGCCGAGCCTGAGATGCCTGCGGGCGATAGTGGACAAGACAACAGCACTGGACACGCACTACCTGGGGAGCGTTACAGCCCCATAAGAGCAAACGATGGCATCAAAGTCATCTGGAAACACGTCACCGATAAGGCCACTTTGCTGGCCACACAAGCCAAAGATGCTGTGACCGAAGCTGTCAATAAAGTCAGGGAACTTGGCTTCATCGGTACGGCAAAGGCAATCGGCGAATGGATCAAGCTACACCCATGGGAGACCGCGCTGATAGTGGTGCCTCTCGTCGCGCTCATCGCCACAGCTATAGCGCTCTCGGCTACGAGATTTGGACCAGCCGGAATCTTCGCTGGTAGGTCACAGCGAGACGTTGATCGTAAAGAGAAGACACTGATATTCCGTAGGCAGTACAGCAGCGATCATCCAGGCGGGTATCGGCAACGTCGTCGCTGGTTCGATCTTTGCGACTTGCACCAGCGCTATGATGGGCGGATCTGGAGCTCTGATAGTGTTTGGAGGAGTATGGCTTGGATCGACAGTCTTCATGGCTAGTCTTGCGGTAGCCTGGAAAAGGTGGAGAGATCGATCACAGCTTGCGATGGTACTTTCGAGGAGCGACTCACCCAAGACAGCCGCGGAAGAAGTCAAGCAAGCTGCGTCTGACGCCGTGTTTTGGACGATGTGTGCAGCAGCTTATGTGGTGTACCGGGTCAAGAGTTGGTACCGAGGACATGGGAGAGGGGATTCAACAATTCGCAAGTTGAAGAGCGAATAGGTCGACAAGGCACGCTTGACTAGACGAAGAAGATTGCGCGTTTGGGAGTGCTACAGCCCTGAATCCTCGCATTGCTGAGGATATGGCTTGGAAGTTGCTTCGAATTCAGTGGTCTGTGAATCGGAAGTCCGCATAACCGCTTGCGCCGAGCGGAGCGCAGTCTGAACCTGTCATCAAACAGAGCAGACACGCCATGCATCGTGCTGATGCATGAGGCATGCTAGATTAATGAAATCATGGAAATCCATCAACTGACAAAGTTCGGCCGTTATGGAGTGTAGTCGTGAGAGATTCAGGAGTCGTTCTAGCTTGAATGAGGCGTCCCACTGGTGCTGACTAACGAGGAAGACGGGCAGCAACGGCGGCGGTGCGGCATGCCTCACCTCCTTCCACATCCGACGCGTCGAACATGCCAGCAGATCGAACGCGAACCACAAACTCCCAAGGCAGGCAAAAGTCTTGCTCAGAGTGCGCTAAAGCGAAACGCAAGTGCGGTTTGGAACAGCCTCATTGTGCACGATGTATTAGACAGCACTTATCTTGCATCTATCCACCACGGCCTGATGCGCAGGACGCAATTCCGCCAACTAACGCAGCGGAAGTGCCTACTGATATGGAACTTCCACAAACACCAGTAGGAATTACAGATCTAGTCAACGATGATGTTGAATTCGACTTCGACCTGCCTGCCATGCCAACAAACTCCACGGCGGATATTCTGGACTTTGATTTCTGCACCGGCGCAAACTCCTTGGACGCGCTTTCGGAAATGCTGGCCTCCCAGTCCAACCAGTTGAATCACACAGCCTTGCAAGCCGTCTCTGCGCCAGTCAGAAAGCCCTTCACATCAGCGCATCTTTCACCTTACGCAAGGTCCAGAGTGGAGTACTCATTCGAGCATATCAAACTCGCGCCGAAGATGATGGTAGAGCAAGCCTGTACACCATGGTCGCACCCGATGCTTTATGAAGAGTACATGCCGAGATCACTACAAGATGCGCACGCTGCATGTGCCCTCTACACCACTATGAATGACGCCAACTCTGAGCATGTTGCACGGTACATCACTAGCCGCGCCCAAGAGCTTGTTACCAGTGCCACACCAACTACACCAATTGAGATTCTTGCTCATACACAAGCGCTTATGTTATATCAGGCCATGCTTCTCTCTAGTGGTGGGATACGGCTCTGGGCACTAGCTGATACTTTACTGCCTTATCTCGAGGACATGGGCGCCGCTCTACTACCTATTGCGGCTGAGGAGAGTGAGATACCGGAGACTATCCCACTATATCCCAGCACAGTTGCTCGAACGGCGTGGAAATCGTACGTTTTCCGCGAATCAGCCCGACGGACTGTTCTATGTGCCTACCATATCGCAATTATGTGGACTTTGTTCAGCGGTCAGTTCAAGACTTGCTCCCGCGATCACTCTCTTAGGAATCTCGTCACACTTTCAGCACACCTATGGAGAGCAAGCAATCCCTTCGACTTTGCCATGGCTTGGAACGACAAGAATCACTTTCTTGTCAAAGAGCTAGACTTCACGGAAGTCTTAAGGGTTGCGCAGCCGGATGACTTGGATGTGTTTGCTAACATGATGCTTGTTGGACTGCAGGGTATTGACGATGTGCGAGGCTGGTATCATACACGAGGTGGCGCCTTGCTGTAGCCACGCTCCCAGCAATGCCAAAGCATCCAAACTTGTAGAATTGACTGATACTTCAACCTCGTCCATTCCTGCTTTCAAGCAACGGTCCTATTATCCAACGGACTCCGGGTGTTCATCACCTGCACCTAGGTGTCCTTGTCGCCAAAGCCTTGCATATTCGCTCCTGGAATCGGTACCTAGTCATGCTTAGCAAAGTCCAAACCATACACAACATGGTATGACTTACCTCAGGGTAGGACCACCACCTATCGTTGTTGTCGATGAATTCTTTGCCCTTCTTTTTGCCATACTCGATGATCCAGGCCTTCTCCGCATTTGACAGTGGATGATGACGCCAAGGACAATTGACACCCATCTCGCAACGCTTACGCGTGAGGAAGGTAGCGAAGCAGAGTCCTAGGTCGTGTCGCTGCTCGGATCCGTACAGTGCTGGTGCAACCTTACCATTGCCACCATTGATGAAACGCTGGTTCTTGGGTTTGCGTTCATACATGACTTTGATGCGGTGATCATAGCCGCGCAGGTCTTGCACTGTCGCAGGTATTTCATCGACCTCTGCGTTCTTGAAATGTGGAAGACCTAAGAAGGGCTCCTGAACCATGGCCTCGCGCTGTGGGTGGATACGATACTGGCCTGGCTTTTCAGACTTGGCCGGAGCATCATCGTCATCTTCGCCCCAGTCTACCTCGTCTTCAACATAGTAAGCAGCACGCAGTGGCGAGACACCCAACTGTTCTTGATCACTCCAGGTGTTGGCGGACAAACGACCATCGGCAGTAACTTTGGGCAATGGAGACTGTCCCACGTCGTCGCCCTGGTCATTGTTGCAATCTCCGTTGAACCCTCTATCCGACTTATCGCCAGCATGTTCGACCTCAGTTTTGACATGGCCAACGCGTACCTTACAAACACGGGCGATGTGTCCTGTCTCTCCACACCGGAAACAAGCCTTCTTGCCAAAATGTGGAGCGATGCTACAATCAGCGGCTCTGTGACCTTCTCAAGGCTTAGCGATTGTATATCAGCAGGCTATATTAGCAACACACCTGGCTCATTGCAATAAAAGCACCGTATGCCATCATCTCTCCGGTTGTCTTTATGAGAGGGTATGCTCACGGACTCGCGACGCATAGGGGTTCGCTCTCGGTATCGCGGCAACTCACCAGAACAGTCTCGAGGGCGGGCAGGCGAACGACCTCGCATACGCCTTGGCTCGTGGACAGGCGAACGGCTGTGCCTGCGCTCTTGCTCTATTTCACGAAGCTCTGCCTCAGCTTTTGCGTAACTTCGCTGTCGTACTTTGCGGTTCGGGCGACCTCGACCTGCCGTCCGCTTGTGCTCGTAAGCTTCTGGTGGGGGTGCGGCGGGAGGCGGTGGAGGGTTGTTTGGACCATACGGGCCTCGTTGTAGTCTTTCGCGCATGTCAGGTTGCCGCGACATGCCTATTCTTGTCAGTGTAGGGGCTTGGTTAGCTTGTTCGTTCCAAGATCAAGTGCAAAGGCTAGTTGTTGGTTTCCCGTCGATGGAGTGAAAAGTCTATGTGCGTGAGACAAGTCTACGTGACCGTATATTCGCGCACAGACCGCGCATGATACTCACGTAGTTAGTGTTACAGTGGAAGTGGTTTATACTATGACATCAATCTCAACCATGAGGAGTGTTCAGTTGTGCTGAAGTAGTGCATCAAAGTATCATCGTTGGTTTAATAGCCATTCCACTTCCCTTCATTAGATACGCCAGCCTTAAAAAAAAGGTGTGATTCATAGCCTTAGTAACGTTTAGATGAGACGAAGTCCCTTCTAAGTGAGTCAGTCGAAAAATGTAGTGAAGTCACACAGGAATATGGAAGATGGAGCGCCCTTGTTGAGTCTGTCTGGCCTACCAACTAATATTGAAGCGGCTTCCTGGTTGCCTTTCTTGAAGGTTTTGACAACATGACCAAGAGCAACATGAATATTAGACTTGACCAGCGCTTGTTAGCATCGTGATATCAAATTCAGCATGGGCGACCTTCTGCTTAGCATGAAGTAAAACAAAATCTCATTGGAATCCCAATCGTGAGGTCAAACACCTCGTTCAAAAAACCGGGCCTACCCTAATACAAGTATAGTATCAGAAAAAGCTCTTCATCTCCTTTCTCCCTATATCAAAGTCCTCAACCTATAAACCCTCTCTGAACACACTTCTCCGGCTCTCCGTTGGACTGTTGTCGATGCTGTCCACACTGCCCGCCTTCTTGTGCTTGGGAGCGCTTGGCATGGTCGCCGTGGCACCACCCCGATAACTCGTATCAGCATCTAGCACCGGCCTGGGACTCACGCCTCTTAGACTCGCCGCGTTGTCATCGCCGAAAGGATTACGCGCGCTCTGTGCGTCAAGATGTTCGTCGTAGGAGTCTCGCGTGCGGCTGCGTCCGCGGCTGGGCTCGGTGGTGTTGTTGTATGGCGAAGGGTTTGCATACGGGTTCGCAGTTTGTCCATGGGTAGACACGGGTTCGTGGAGACCGAGTTCCTGCTCTTCATAGTATGCTTCGTCACCCACGCGCGAACTCCAGGCTTCATCGGGATCAAGACGACTGCCTGCGCCGCGGCCTCCACCAACGCCTCGTCCGCCGCTGTAGCCTGCGTCTTCGTAGCCGCTACCCGTTGTGTACCGGTTGTTCCTGTTCTTGAACTTGCGCAGCTGGGTGTCGAACCAGCCTTTGATGCCCGTGGGCGCAGGGCCGGGGTAGTTTGAGGTTGCGGCGCCAGAGGACGAGGAGCGGCTGAAGGCTACCATGGGGTTCATCGAGGGTGGTGGGAGGCCATTGCGGGATGCATTCCACCGAGCGTAAAAGTACCACCCGAAGTAGGAGATTGAGAGCAGCAGTAGCAGGATTATGATGAAGACTAGCCAGCCGTTCATGTTGGCGGTGGTTGTATGGTGTGTTGGGGGCGGGTATTAGGGTCGCATGTGCGATTTGGGCGTCGTCGTCGCGATTGCGCGGAATTCGACGGATTCGCTGTCGCTGTCCTGGATACTCGTGGCTCCAAGGTGCGGGTGTAAGAGGTGAGGGATTTGGTGATACCCCGACGTTTGTAGTATGCGACGTCGACTGTCCGCGCCGCAATGTCAATTTGTTGGTGTAGCTGACAAGCGCGGCTGAGTTGCTCGAGCCCAGGCTGCTTCGTATTGCCAAGTGATGACGTAACACGTGCTGACGCCGCTGCCCAAATGTAACAATTGTCAGTCGAGGAAAGCGATGCCTCGCAATATCCGTGGCATCAATAACATCACGCTACGTAGCCTGCCCCCTTTCGCAAAAATTCATTCGGCCAGAAATGTTTCAGTTTGATGCGTGCTTTTGGTCTCAAGATAGTAACGTTATTGAACATGACGCACACGGGCTAGCGCATCTGTAAACGAAAAATGGGGAAGGTGGGATCCGTCGATTGCGCGATTGGGCAGCGAAGATCTATCTACGCCCTGTGAAAATGGATGGTGTTGCATGCAGTAGGATTGCACTATCAGTCTTCCATATCCTGGATCTGATCCATTATCTGTCTTTCCGACAGTCTACTTTCGAACTGGGTATCCCTCAACATCTCTCCGAACGCATTGTATAATCAGGACGACCTGAGTCATTCATCGCACTAGGGCTTCAACATGAGTTCATCAGCCATTGGAGAGCCCCACAACAAGATCGTCTTCGAAGCGAAGTGTATCGATAACCATTCTAAAGTCGTTGTCACGTTGCAGGAACACAAAGATGCCACAAAAACGCCCTCTTTGATCAATGTGTCCAAGCAACCTCTCGTCCCGCAACCTCCGAAGGACTCAACCCAACAGCGCGAAACACACATCATCCTATCCGTTGGCTCCGGTGACAGGAGCGCGGAAGACTTCTTCTCCAATGTCGTACGTCCAGTTCTCGTAGGCATCTACGATGAGGAAGTGGTAAAAGAAATAAGCATACATACCACCGAATCAGCAACCAGCATCTTGGAACTCACAGACCAAGTATTCTTCTCAGCTGCCAATCAGAGTAGACGACTACGTATCATCCTTCTCTCAGGAGACGGCGGTATTGTAGATCTTGTAAACGGCCTCTCATCAAAGACGCCGAACCCGCAAACATATATCCCGCCCGAAGTTGTACTTCTGCCCTTAGGGACGGCAAATGCACTGTACCACTCCATCAACGCTGGAGGGAAGAATACATGGGGCTTGCCCGCACTCGCATCATGGAAAACAAAGCCTCTGCCCACTTTTACAGCAACATTCTCCCCCGGCGCACGTCTTCTCACGGATGAAGCCCGAAAAGAAGAAGAATTACCAAAGGACAAACAGGGTAATGGTGTCCTTCACGGCGCTGTAGTAGCTAGCTGGGGTATGCATGCGTCTCTAGTTGGAGATAGCGACACAGCCGAGTACCGCAAACACGGTGTTGAGCGCTTCAAGATGGCTGCGAAGGAGGCTTTGTACCCTGCTGACGGCTCACCACCGCACCCTTACAAAGGCAAGATTTCCATTCTCCAAGACGGTGCTGAATGGGTCACTTTACCAGAAGAAGAGCACATGTATGTTCTCGCCTCCATGGTATCACATCTCGAACAGCCGTTTTGTATATCGCCTGCTAGTAAGCCACTGGACGGTACTATGCACCTTGTGCATTTTGGACCGAGGAGTGGGGATGAGGTCATGGCTGTAATGGGTAAAGCATACCAGGGAGGCTTGCATGTGCAGGAGGAGGATGTGAGATATGAGAGCATTGATGGATTGAGGATTGAGTTTGAGGGCAAAGAGGAGGAAGGAAGGTGGAGGCGTATATGCATCGATGGAAAGATTGTGAGAGTCGAGGGTGATGGATGGGTGGAAGTGAAGAAAGCCAAAGACGGGAAAGGCGGCATGAGGGCACTAGATGTTGTTGTGCCTTAGGATAGCATGCTCACGACAAAGAGGACATACATGAATCATTTCTCATTTGATCTTCATACAGCTAACGCTGTCTGATCTGACAGTACCCTAGGTACGTCTCCTGTCTGATACCAATCGTAAAAGCCATCCAATCCTTCGACTGATGCCAATCTTACCTCCACCCTTCATCTATGGTGCTCCTCCCGCAGTCTTGCGCATGATGACCTCGTCGCTACGGCGTAGAAACTCATCGCCCTTGGTCAAGAAGCGAATGTACGCGCGCTCGTCATATGTAAGACCATGGCGATACTCACATGCAACTCCATGCTGACAGACATTGGGAGTGTGAAAGTGATCGTGGCATAAGCCTAGGTCCCAGAACGCGTTGGAGCCGTACTTTTGAGGTCCGACCTTGCCATTTCCAGCCGTATATGGAAGAGTTGATTGAAAGCGACGATAGTTCTTGAGACCCTTGCGTGGCGCGTCCGGATGAGGATAGTCAAGGCTGTCACGCACTGCCGCATCAAGCGAGGGGATGTGCGAAGGTATATGAGGGCGGCGCTCTGGGGCCATGCTGGCGATGAACTGGTGCAAGTGGGTGTGTACAGCTTGCTCGTGTGCGAGCTTGATCTTCAGGTACTGGTTTTCGCGCTCGAGCTCGTTGATAGTCTTGTCACGTTGGTTTGTGATCTCTCTGACGCGAGTCGCATCCTGCCTGAGCTGGACGATCTTCTGATTCTTATCCACAAGCATACGATCCTTATCCACAAGCTTTTGATCCTTCTCGACTAGCTGTGTATCCTTCGCGAGAAGGCAACCCTTCAGCGTCAGAGTGTCTTCCTTCGCGTTGAGGTAGGCTAGCTTGGCCTCACGATATGAGCTCTGCCAGTCCTTGGGTGTCTTGTGGTCGGGTTCACTGAACGGTAGCCGCTCTTGGTGTTGTCTGCCGGCGTCGATGTCTGCGCCAGGCTCTTCCAGCCTACGTTTCTTAGTAGCTGGGGTGACTGGTGTCGGGGTATCAAAGGACAATGCGGATGCCATTCCAGGCGAAGGGGGAAGTCCGTAGGAGTTGCCGATGGAAGTTGTCGAAGCTGTCTCGGTCAGTCGTTGTATTATATACGACGCGTGGTCATGAAAGAAGTGGTTGTCATCGAACTTACATCTTCTTGATTCACCGCCGTAAGTCTCGTAAGCCCTCAGCGGATCGCTTGGGACATGCGAGAAACTGTCGGACCCTTTATAGACCATTGTGTAGATGTGTACAGCTGGGCTGTCAGGGATTGCGAGGTATGTGTACCGCTTCAAATACTAGTAGAAGTGAGTGTTTATACTGACGCGTTTGTGGGTGCGCCAAGACACTAAGGTGTACCTTTGCCCGCTTTGAGAAGTTGAAGTGAAAGTGAAGGTGAAGGTGAATGGCAATTATTCCGGCCCGAAATCTTCGTTTTGAACAAAACCAAGACTGTGCCAATGTACGATGACAGTCAGAGAATATTTTCGTTTATAGAAGCATAATACCTCTAGGATTTCCTGCGCAAGATGCGAAGCTGAGCCATGGGTTAGCAGTGCAGGCTGTTCACAGTGACGAGGTCAGACTCAGCATTATAGAATTGATTCAATCTAAGATCTCATCGCCGTGGCTTTGAATCGTTCTATTCGGAAGGTGTTTCTCATCTAGGTGTTGTACAGGTTGCATATATCGTCAGTGACGTATTGATAATGGTTCGTCACAGTATCAGCAGGTAACATTCTTGTATTATCAATATGGACTGTAGTACTCCACAACGTTTCATGAATAACGCGTGATCAGTAAGAGCCATCAGTGAGTAACCGCTCGCGTAAATGTACTGTTTCCATTCACTTGTTTGTTCTTCAGTGTGCAAACGGCAGCAGACGATGGCAGCGAAGTAGCCCAACCCATCCATCAAATTCCCACACACATACTAACAATTTTAAATACTGTACATATAAGATTTATTTGAGGATTCAGTCATCGAACTACGACTGCAGCGTAGTTCGGTCCCCCAGCAGTTCTCCCAGCAATGGGCCCCCAGCAGTTCTCCCAGAAATGGGCCTCCAGCAGCTTTTTGAACTAAGTTCGACTCACGATGCCCACCTCTTTTTTTCTTTTCCTTTTTGCCTTTCTCGTTTTGCGCATACTTCCCAAGAGGGTATTACGCGCCTACACCGTGTCGACACTCTTCCTTTATGCACGCACATGACGCTAAGCCTTAGCAGATATCAGCTATCATTGCGTTAAAAATGCTGCACTGTTTTGTTATTGTTGTCGATGTTTCGACTGATGATGTGTATGCGATCCTGGTTAAGCATCTTGACGAGCTCCTGACCTAGTAATTTGAAGACTGGAAGTGGTAGGTAGCCTTCAGTCCAACTCCGGACTGCATCTGAAGTTGTCGCAGGTTCGAGCAGGGAATCCACACCATTGACGTTGATCTTGGCTTTCTAGTAGCAGTGGGAGAGGGCGTTAGTGACGGCCTCCACGATAGCGACATAATCGAAACCCAACTCTTCCTGTGTGACTAGGTGCTATCAGATCAAACAGTGTTCTGGTTTCTTGCTTAACCTAGTGGCATTCTTCTAGAGCTCGAGGCAGTATCTAATAACAGGAAAGTCTTGAATGAATTGTGACACTACGAGTACGCGCTCTTGCTTGTACATCTTGCATGCGTCTAAAGTCGATAGTGTATTACTCTTTCGTTTAGCACAGAAGTCTTGAGGGCAATGTTATGTTGGCGTTTGAAGATTCAGCTAATCGCTCGAGAGCTTACGTGCTGTTGGAACATCCTATTATTCGCTTCCAAAACATGTCTTTATTGTCTATATACAGCTGCACATAGTGAAGCTAAGTGCTTGGGGACACGCTTCTCTGTGATACAATACTGTGCAACTTAACAGCGTTGTGCCTGCGTTCTATTACTAGCACGTTGATTAAATCACTGTCTTCGTTGTCTATTATCCTGATCATCTTATTAATAGTGTTAGTATTCTTTACTGAGGTTTAAGCGTGTTTGTGCGTAAGCCGTATACTATCGCGAAGAGAAGCTATATCGTGATTTATCCTATCCTGATACATGAGACTATAATGACCTATATACAATGAGCTATAGACATGTAGCGTCCCGCCGTCGTTGTAATTTTAACAAAGCACACTATATGTAGATAGATGGGTCGACCGCGCTCGTCTTCGTGCGCAGATCGCCTTGCACGAACCACGGTTGAATTGCAGTAGCTCCTGCCTTCGACGCCAAACAAGCGTCATAGGCCACAAGTACAAAGGCACTCGCTCCTCACCTTTTTCTTGCGAAGGGTCGGAGAGGGACGACCACAATTTTTCACATATCCCCACACAACCGTCAGACACAGTTGCGCTTTCGTACCCATTCATCATGCTTCCATTACCCTAGCCTTGACCGTATGTCTGGCCCCCCTTTGCCTGCGACAAATACCACCGAGACAGCTACCACGATCGTCAAAAGAAAGTAAACTTTCGACTCTCCATCAATGCGAAGCAACTGCGCTCATTATAAGAGAATGGCCGGTGGCTCTTAATATCTTGGCTACGACTGCATGATGGCCGGTGTTCAGGGGCTCCAAGAGAACTGATGCCTCAGGCCTGGTTATTCTCGAAACAGTTCATGCCGCCAGATCGAGGATCTTAACTCCACCTAAGCGACCTCAGCTTTGATAGGTCTGTCGCCACGCGAATTCAGAATCGAGCTAGGAAACGATGGAACATCGGTCATCTTGGACTCAGCCCCTCGGATGCCAGTCGTCGCGTCTGCCCAGCTACACAACTTGGCGTAGTAAACGCTATCTCTTCGGATGACGACAATTCCGGGGTTGAGCAAAAGCAACAACAGGATGATACGACATCAGCAATTGCGCTGGCAGCGTCTTTTGAGCGCAATTCTCAACATGCGTAGACCTGTGCGGCTTGTGGCGTTGGATTGTTGAAGTTCAGACTTTCCGGCCCCCACATGCAAAGCGCTGACAGATGCCGCACACCAAGCCTATAATTAGGCGTCTCCACTGCGGGCACCAGTCGCCCTACAGGGCCGCGGCGATGATAGTAATGGAAGGGCAAACTGCTATGAGCAGGCCACGCTCGCAAAGTCATGAATCGCAGCGACCCGTAAGAGCGAAAGAAGATTGAATGCGCATCCTGTGTGTTTCTGACATCACGCGCACGTGCATGACGCGTTTCGTCACGGCGATCTTGGGCTGTGTGATGACCACCCGGCCCAGCGCATCAAGCCTACTTGCACAAGCAGGGGTACCGTCAGCAACATCCTTATTACTTACCCATTCCTGCCGGCGCGGCGCAGCCTCTTTTCTCCAGTCGCATCCGCAAGCAATTGAGCGAGAATCCTCACACCTAAATATCGGCCCTACTCGACGTTGATCGCCCACCATGAACATGATGCGCAAGAAGGCGCAGTACGTGAACATCACGCCCATACCATCCTACATCCCGCGTCAGCTCGCAATCGACTTCCTCCACAGCCATGGCGAAATCATCGAGCTGAATCCACTCGTCACCGGCCACGAACCCATCAAAGCACCGCGCGACGCTCCTGCAGACGAATTCTATTCAACATGGTACGAGATCTCGCAGCGCATACAATACATACCCGGTATTGGCAAGATGGGAAGCGGCGCAATCAAATTTCGAGGCGTCTTCCATGACCTGCCCTTCGGCCTGCAGACACACACTTATGCGCCTGCAAATGTCGACCTGCGCAACAAGTGGCAGATTTGCGGAAACCAGCCTGGCGAACCACCTGAGCCGAAAGAGCTGGGCTCAGGTGCGCCACCTGAGGGACTTTACATACGCGAGGATGTGGAGATCAAGTGCAATATGACCATGCTCAGCTTTGTCAAGAAGGAGATGAAGGCAGCTGCAAAGGTCATGGTAGACCGTTTAGTCAAGAAGGCTGAACTACTCGACTCAGGAGCGTTGCATGCCATGATGGAGAACGGGCGGCTGAAGACGGTCAACCCAGCAGATCGTTCAGCGCACGATTACAGGTCGCCACAACCATCGCCAACGCAGCCCTACCAGATGCCCATGTCACCGCACAGGCAGAGCCAACAGTATGCGCAGCCTGATCAGAACGCTCCACCAGTGCCACCGAAGCAGCTCCTAGGAACGAACGACGTCGTGATGGAACTACCAGGCGACTTCTACCACCCTCAACCATCTCCCACCTTCCTGCACCCGAACCATAACCGCACATCTACCGCCTCCGAGCCGTCGCAATACTCACCCCAGCCGCAAGATGTGCGCTGGTCAACCGCATCGCACAGCACTGTTAGTTCACGGCCGAGCTCCTACGCGCCCTCAGAGGGTATGCGCTCGCCAGGGTTGGAGCAAAAGGCGTTCGCGGCCGAGCTGCCGACAATGGAGGAGACGAAGGAAGAGCATAATGTCAGGCAGAGGCGAGAGAGCGACCACAAAGGTCAGCAAGCGTACACATACAATCCACAGGATTACGCTCGGACACAGCAGCAGTATGGAAGCAACCCACCATACCCGGTGTATGGGCAACAATATCCCCAACGGTAATTGACTATCTTTGTCCGGTTGGTATCGGAGGTATACAGGCAACATGTTTCCCATGATGACTCGGCGTTAGTACAGCGGCTATTTGTTCCTTCTACATGACGGCTTAGAACTCTACGCAATGTTTCCAGATATCCCCTTCCATTATGTAACGCAATCGAATTCTTCTTCTCGCACGACCACGCTCTTCTCGTGTCATCTTTGCTGCTATGTGTCTGGTATACTAGCGATGTAGTTCCACTAGCCATGACTACAGCACCTAGTGGTCCACAATGTTGAGGTCGATGAAGGAATCGAGGTAACGGGCAGCAATGTTGACGAAATGATCCATTCGTATGCATTACCACGACAAGATGCTACTACATGTACTAAGATTTCAGGCAGACTAGACAAAAGAGTGTGATTTGGACCCGCTACCCTACCTACCAACAAACAAAAGCACACAACAGCGAGGTCCTCAACTACTGAAGCAACTTCTTGAGATCTCCAACGGTGTCGACCTCCAGGAAAAAGGCATCTCTGATCTCCAAGCCCAGTTCCTCTCGCAATCTCTGAGACATGACCAGCGACATCAATGAGTCAAGTCCCAAGTCAGCAATGTGAGCGTCATCTGTAAGCAGGCCAATGTCGACAGCGAGTTCTTCCGCAACCAAAGCTAAGGCTTTGTCTATGGCGCCACTCGCACCAGTGGCCGGACTGGCTGATGCTCCCGCGTCTTCATCTGAGGACGAGCATCCTCCGGGTCGGGAAATGATCACCCCAGAAGAATCGGAGTGTTCGGAGCCCTCCTTCTGACTGGGGGGTGTCGAAGCAGGTTTGGGTCGTGGCACTTGATGTGCCTTGGACTTGAGACGCGCTGGAGGTGCGCTCTTTACAGGGACACTCGCCGCTGGCTTCGCCGTGCCATCAGCAGGCCTGAAGAAGCGATTGAGCATCACTCGTGGCCACTGTAGAAACAGTATCGCCTCAACAACTCCAACAATTTCCGAGTCTTGCAAAACATACACGTCGCCGACAAAAGAGTGGTTGTCCGAGGGCACCATTCGGACGTAGGCTATGTAACGTCCGCCCGGAACCAGCGGCCGCGCAAAGCGCATCGACTTCCAGGATGGAGTGATGAAGAAGTTATTCGTGTTGTCAAAGTGGGTACCGCCGTTCAACACAAAACCCGACAGAGAGATAAGGCCGTCGATGAAGTGAGGTGGGACAGTCCAACTGCCGCCAGTATCATCAGGGAACTGAACCTCAGCCATGGCCTCATCTTCGTTGAGGATCACTGATTGCATAGTCTGATACAGCTTGGAGTAGCCAACCAGCTTGCCAAAGAGGCTGTAGGCGAGGTCGGTCGTAAGTTTGCTAGCTTTGCCTACCGCGGCCATGTCATTGAGGGCGTCGATACGACTAGTGACCAGTTTGGTAGAGCGAGACCACGTGGACAACCAGGACGAAGGATCCTCGTACAAGACGGTAGCGTGGCAGTACCAAATCTCTTTGGCAGGATTGAACCATTTGACGTGAACTTCCATCTTGTCCAAGTCCGCCTCGGCAGAGACCAGGATTGGCTGTGGTTTACTTGTATCGATGAGCTTGACGACAGGCTCATGATACTCGAAGTCGGCGACGTTGATGCCAAATGATACTGCAGTTGCGAAGCTCTTGTCACTAATACGTTTCGCGAGCGTGAATGCCATCTCCGCATGAAGGAACTTTGTATTGTTAGAGTTTTCTTCATTTAGGAACACATGGTGGGATATAGACATCACTTACAGACGAAGCAACCCCGTATTCATTCATCGCGTGTCCATCGACTACGCCTTGAAGTGAAGGATCAGTAATGCTGCTCTCCGCCGACAAGGTTGCTGTTGATTCAGTGTAGTGCTCCGATGTAAGCCGATGAATACTAGAAGTCTGGAATCCCTTCACGGTCGGCACAGGAGCAGATGCAGGCTGCAACTCAGATACTGCTCGGCCTTTGGTCAGATTCCAGTCTCCACGGTACTGAATCCAATAATTCTTATTGGTCCACACGTAGGTCGGAGCATCAACAAGTCGGAGCGCCTGCTCAAAGGGACGATGATATTCATTCCAGTCGATTTGTACGCCTGCACTATACAAGATGCAGAGTGATTTGGTCAGAGTTGACCAGTTGTCGTTGTCGCGCTGTAGACTTGGCAGTGCCATCCGAGTGGAAGACAGTGTTCGGCTGATGAAACCACAGCACGTGGGATGATGGCCCATTTCCAGCCAGACAGTAGACTTGTTGACTACACCAGTCTCCCAAGCGTTGTTGAGGGCACCAACAAATTCGACTGTCTCCCGAGTTGCGCCGACCAAGTATGAAATATCGATTGTGTCTTTTGATGTCATGATTTTCCCGTATCGAGGAGAGATAATGGGAATTCTTGTCGGACTGCATACAATCGATCTTGTTTGTCTGAGCAGCTCATCCGTGATAGTGTCCATCTGGGATGTGTGGTAGGCATGAGGAAGATCCAAATGGAAGGTCCTGTAACCCGCAGCTTGCAAAGTTGCCGAGAGAGCTTCTATGCTCGGGAGAGTACCCCCGAGGACCGTTTCGTTTGGACCGTTGATGCAGGAAATCTCGAAGGGAATGCCACTACCAGCACGTTTGACATCTGCTACTGAAGCTCGTACTGAAAGCATACCGTGTGTACGAGCCGTGCACTTGGAGCTCAGGAGCGCAGCGCGGGTGCCGACAAGAAATATGGCAGCGCTTTCGGATAATACACCAGCTACCGCCAAAGCTGCGTATTCACCCAGGCTGTGACCAATAACAACGCTTGGTTTGATGCCAAATGACTCCCAAAGTCGCGCTAGAGCGATCTCCACACAGATTATGGCAAGGTTCATCGTGACGATAGAGACATCCTTTGGCTGTACAGTTCCAGCAACGATGGGCAAGAAAGAGGTGAAGTCTTGTCGTCGTACCAAGCCGTCCAGTCGATCAATGTGCTGGCGAAACTCGCGAGAGTCTCGATATAATTGAGTGCCAATGCCGATATAGAAAGTACCCTGCCCAGTGAATGCGAATGCTATGGGAGGTTGTTTGCCCGAGTGTGGAGTTTGGGATAGAGAGGTTTCAATGTGTGAGCGAAGTGACGATGCTGCTTCAGCTGTGGAAGACGCAAGAATAGAAACTCGATAGTTGTAGTGGTTTCTCCGAGCCGACAGGGTATAGGCCAGGTCTGCAATGGAGAGTTCTGGGCGCGTTTCAATAAAGTCAACAAGAGCTTTGAGATTTTCCTGCAGTGAGTAAGCCGTCTTTGCAGACACAACGATTACATGTAATTTTCGTGCATCGTCCCCCTTCTTTGATCGTGGCATCGCCTCTTCCACGATTATGGACGTATTTCCTCCGGCTGCTCCGAAATTGTTCACCATGGCTAGTCTTTTCCGATCGCTGTTTGGGGCCCAATCAGCTGCTGTTGTAGGGATAACCACGTTTCTTTTGGTCAAATCACCTGGCAGTGCTGGGTTGAATCGAGACTTGATGCCAATATGAGGAGGGATAATGCCTTTCTGAAAGACCAACATTGTCTTGACGAATGCCATGATACCAGCAGCTGCTTCCCCATGGCCCATGTTGGATTTGACGGTACCGATGTGAAGAGGTGACTGCGGATGTCGAATGTGGCCAGTAGAAGGAGCGAATACGTTTGTGACTGATCTCATCTCGTTACTGTCGCCTGCCTGAGTTCCTGTGCCATGCATCTCAACAAACCCAACCGACAAAGGGTCGATCCCAGCCCTTCTGGCAACTTGAGTATACAGATGGGCCTGCGCAACATCGTGCGGATGGGTGATAGAGACTGCCTCAGCAGAGTGATCAGTAGCTGCAGCGAGAACAACTCCTAGAATATTGTCGTTATCCGCCTCGGCGTCTTCCAGTCGTTTCAAGACAACGCTACCGACGCCATCAGCACGACAATACCCATCAGCCCCTACATCCCACGTCTTGCATCCGCCAGTAGGTGAGAGAAAGTGGCCATTGCTGAGGCCGGCGTAGACATCAGAGTTCGTGATGATGTTCATGCCTCCAGTAATTGCCATATCGACATCACCACTCCATAAAGAAGTGCATGCAGCTTGTATCGCCGCAAGACTGGAAGAGCATGCGGTGTCGACACTGAAACTCGGACCCCAGAATTTGAAGAAGTAATTGATGCGGCCAGGACCGAACGCCCTACATCCTCCGGGAATGAAGTAAGTACCAACTTCTTGTCCAGAGTTGACCTCGCGGTAGTCGTCGCTGGCCTGTCCGTAAAACGTACCCACGCGTCGCGCGTGTATACCGCGACCATGCACGTAGCCTGAGTTCTCCAAAGCCTCATAAGCAGTCACGAGAGCAAGTCTCTGCATCGGATCCGTTTGTTCAGCTTCTCGTGGTGACATGCCGAAGAACATGGCATCGAAGAGACCTGGGTTATCTACAAAACATCCATATGGTGTTTTGGATGTATTCGGGGTTTTCCCTGCTGGATCCACATGAGTTTCAATATTGAAGCGATCAGGAGGAACAGGCCCGTGGGCATCGTGGCCTTGTACCAACAGTTCCCAAAATCTTTGTGTGTTATCAGCACCTCCTGGAAAGCGGCATGCCATACCCACGACAGCAACTTTCGATGACTTCGCATCCTTGGCAGGACTGCTTCCAAGAGGGAGGTTCATGATCGCTGACATCATGTCTTCGGCCGTATGTGTAGCGGTGGGGATGTCGGCTTTCCATTGCGCAAGTAAGCTTTCAACATATTGTGATGGTTGTATGGCGATCAGTTGGGTGGAATTCGGCGAGACCTGTTTCAGCTGTTCCGTGACGCTCTGGATAGTTCGATCCCACCGGATTCTTTGGGTGAGCATCTCTTCCATGATTTGCTCGAGTAGTTCATTGGCATTCGCTGCTTTGAATGGTTGTCCTGTCACCGGGGAGAACAATGAAAGATGCAGTCGGTGTTTTTCGTCGATATGCGGAACGACTTGCCGCA